AGCTGATATGTTAAAAACATTTCTTACAATGAGCAAAATGCAAATACCTTTTTTTTCCCACAGCATACTAAGATTAGTGAGCTCTCAGCAAGCCATAGCTCTATCTAGGAACATTTCAAATCATAAAATATCCATCACATACTGGCTCAGAAATTCCACTTTATAAACACAACTAAATTTTAAAAAACTACATGTATTATCCTGGATATACACAACATATCATTAAGTTATCTGACTATTGCCCACCTAAAATCATTAGAGGTTTTTTTTTTTTTTTATTTCACACATATTTCTATGATAATGCTCCATCTAGTAAGTGGCATTCTGATACTTAATAGAACTAGACCTGACGTGTTTTTCAGTATGCAATATAGTGTCATGCTTTAATGTTGTCATTCAGCAGAATTGGAGAAAGTCAGATTACTTAACCCTTGCCTCGCGTCAGTGCTCCCTTCAGTATTTGTATATTGGTCTTCAGCAGCCTCTAATAAGAAATAACCTATATCACTCCAAATTCATGAGTTAAATGCTGGTCTCCATAGAAATTAACATTAAAGTGTTCATTTTATAATATTCACATAGTTACCATTAGATATATTTGATCTGTGACTTTTGAGCCAAATGGTCTGATAAGAAAAACAAAAAGAAGACAGAAAAATATCATTAGTCTGTTGTTTCGTGCATACATACTACATCAAATTCTTTTCTTTCCAATCTAACATTCTTAAAACCACAAAACATGAAAGCTTAATTTGAAATTTCAAAGGAAAGATTTATGAAAATTTAATATGCAATGATCTACTCAAGGACATACATACATACACATATATATATATATATATATTTACACACACACACATGCGTGTGTGCGTGTGTGCGTGTGTGTGTGTGTATGGATGATGCTATTGCAGGAAAGCATTGGAAATTATTTAAAATAAAGGTAAAATGAATTTATTAAAGAGAACATAAATATATACAACATATTGGTTGGATATACATACTAAGTTACTTTAGGCACATAACTATCTATCCAGCTACTTTAGGGTTATCAAAATGTATTTGCATTTGCAAGATGCCTGATACCTTTCAGCCTATGTCCAACTAAAGTCAAACAATTAAATGGATTAACAATTTAGTTAACACATTTATGATATTCTCTGCTTCCAAAGTCAAAAATTAAATATGACTGGGTTACAGTATTTAGAGGAGTACATTCACTGTTTCCACCATTTAAAATATATTTTTTCAAAAATTAGTTGTAAAAAACACTTCGTTTTTCTTTTTTTTACATCAGCAGTTACCTTAACTAGGACTCTTCCAAAAAGTACAAGAACATGTTTCCAACTGAATTCAGAGACTATTCGTGCCCCAATTCACTTTCAGTAATTTGCAGTCATGTGACCGCGGGTGGGGAGGGGAAACCACTGAACTCTTGCAATTGAATGGCTAGTTTTTGATATTTGGGACTAAACTTTTTTCACTTCTTCCCTTCCTCTACTGAAAAATAAAGAAAAGGTAGGAGAGGAGAATGAAGGAGGAGGGAAGGTAAGGAAAAGTAAATCATAATCGACTGAGGAAATAAAATAATATGCAATAATTTCAGTTATTTGCCCAAAATACAACCAGATAGCAGGAATATCATCAGTAGACCACAGTAACCACAGATGTGTACATTTCTGTTATTTGCTGTTAATTTTTCCTGTTTGTGATCAAAGAGAAAGTAGAGGGGGACAGGAAGGATAAGATACATAGGTCAGGCATAAAGGTCCACTGTCCACATGTGAAGTGGTGTTCCATTTGTGACCATGATGCTAATATCAAAATGAAAATATTTATCAATAATGCAATGTGTGGCTTATCTCTTAGTATGAAAATTATGGAGTAGACGTCTCCAAGATCATCAAAGTTTTTACATCATAATCAGAGAAAAATTAAAATAATACTTATATCTACCTGAAAGTATATTTACATTAGATTATGCCACGTATTTAAAAGAATAATCACAAAGAGCAACATCCTAGCTTGCATCCCAACTTTACTCAGTGACAGAAACTTTGCATGCTGGACTCCAAAACTTTTATGGGGAGAATCTGCTGAGCTCCACACCAATCATACACCACCACATTCCTGGTCTGATAACTTACAAAGGTGAAGATAAAATAGCAATATATGAAAATGTACATCTAAGCTTGTATTGTGTGTAAAAAATGTATCAATGTGAAACATACAAAAGGGGAAAGATTATTTATTACACATTTTATGCAAAATGATTCTGAAACAGTATTTCTTCAAAATTATCAAACTCAAGATGAATTTAATATCTTGGGAAATTTTAAAAGATTTTAAAGTAACCTTTGTTAATAATCTATATAATTGTCAATTTTCTTGATTAAAAAGTTGCATTCTAAAAACCTCAGGTGATATTATAGAAAGAGGACAACAAAGGGAATTATCATACGAGATCACACAAATTAGTGTTGATTTGAAAAAAAAATAATTGAAACTATATCAATGAATTTTCTTTGGAAATTGTTAGTTTTGTTGCTCAGCAATATGTCTTGATATTGAGTAATTATAAAGCTTCACTACACAGAGGGTTCTTCATGGCATCAGTTTTTTACAATTTATAAAATACTATCATCTTTGAATGTATTAATACTGTGAAAATAAGAGTAGCATTTTCAAAGAAAAGAAAACACAGTCTGAAAAAAATACAAGCAACAACGCCAATATGATATAATGCTTTTTTTGTTTTGTTTTGTTTATTTATAATCCTTGGATCTAAGGTAGAGGAGGTAGGCAGGAATCTGAGATAGGTTTTATTTTCCTGTTACTATGTGGCACTACGAAGCTTATTCTTTTTTCTCCTTTGGGGAAAAAAATATTTGGGAGAGCAAATATGAAGAGTGGATAGCTTTCTGCTCTTGGTCAATGTGGCATTATAACTATGTGACTTTTTATAAGTCTTTAGGGAAACCATGTCTACCATTTCAATCTGAGTTCAAGTAGTCACTGTCAATTTACTCATGGCTGAATGCTGCCTCTTTGTGGCAGAATGCCACGGCAATTGTTCCTTAAACAGGAAGTTCATAAACAGCCGGGGATATTGCCCACTTTTTAGGTGAGACCAGACAGAGGAGCAGTAGTAGCAAAGGAGTGTTTGGTTTTTTGATTGTCATATGGGGTCCACTGTTTTCTACCATTAAACACTCATCTAAATTCACTGCCAAACCTTATTCAGAGGTGGACAGTTTATACCCACAAACATCCCAAACATCTATGGCATCCATTAAGTTTAGATAAGGTATCTGTCAGAACTGAGGAACAATTTCATATAAATGAAGATACAGAAGAATTCAGGCTGTATAAATAGCATGTATGTGGCAAAATGTAAAACTCTACAAAAGGAATGAAAATGTAACATATTACTTACCATGATCCAAGTATTAGAATTACACTCCAGTGAGGAAACATACAATGAAAATCCCATTAATAAATATATTAAGTGACACATTCGGAAAAAAGAATAAATTTTATGTATGTGTATGCATAAATGGACATACATAGAAATTTTTGCGATTAGGGAAACTTAGTCTTACTAGGAGGAAAATAGCTACTGGTTCCTAAATTCTTAATAAGGAGGTTCCACCATCTCCCAGAATCATTACTTACATCCCTCAAAGTTGACATAGTTATCAAGTGTTTATTCAGAAACTATTTAAAAAATTACATGTGCTGGGATACATATGAGATTGTAACAATAGCAGTTCCATCTTACAGAGGTCCTGTTTGTCACCAGCATCTGCCCAGAGGAAGAAAGACATCGTACATAGACGTGTACAGCCCATCATTTGGTCTTCTGAGGTGCACAGGCACGTGGAACTGTACAAATGCAACTGGGTTTGGTTACACAATCAAAAAGCGGCTACAATAGTAGTCAAATCAATACATCATTTTGGTTCACTAATAAAAATAATTTTCAACCTTCTCTGTTATAACCAAAAACTTCCACACATTTCTCAATCAAACAACCCAATTATTTGCTCCATCTTCTCCATTTTATGCAGTGGGATACAATCAGCTTCAGTTTTTAGTTTATTTATTTTCTAATCGCAAGTCCCATTGGATGGGTTTCATGGACTTTTAAAGACTTTTGTCATTAAGTGCTCCATGTCATTAACTATTTAGTAGGCCTTTCTGATAGCACTCTAGGTTTGGAAATGCAGCTCCTTGTACAGTGCAACAACGCCTCTGTGAAAATCATAGGCTAACTAGTGAAGGAAAGAGGAATGCTAAATGTGCATATAAAAATAGGTGCTACAATAAAATATTTGTATATTTCATCAATAAGTTATTTTGACTAATCAATTATGGATCATATAGCTCTGTAATTTCAATGATTTGTCCACATCTATAGTGAGCCTTTCAGGATCACAAGATTTTTTTTTTGTTTATTTTAATTCAAATGTCCAGAATGCATACAAACACATCCTTTAAAAACAAAGGACAGGGTTAAGAGGGAAGGTGGGAGGGGGCGGGAAGGGAGAGAGAACAGACTTCCTATTAAAGTCGGGTGTGCTAATCTCTCAACCAATGCCATGGCTCTTAGGACAAGAAGGGTATGAGAAGAGGAGCAAAAAGGATGAGTAGATTCTAAGCGGCGTCCACCCCCACCCTTCCAAGCACTGCAAAAGGGGCTACAACCTGCTTAAGGTCACCCTTGATGCAAACTGCCCTCCAAAAAGCCCTTCTCTCTTCCCCCACACACAAGAAGGAGAAAGCGATGTGCCTAGTTTACATAAATGTTTCCCGCGTGTAAAATTAAAAGGAAATTGCACACCCTTTCAGCTAGCTTCCACCGAAGCTGAGAACCCCGTGCCAAGGCACTTCACCCTAAGTGTTGAAACGACACAATTAATCAAATGTGTTCACTGAGTGTGTCTGCTTGCTTGTTTGTTTGAAACGCAAAAGCTCCAAAGGAGTTTCTTGGTTTTTTTTTTTTTTTTTAGAACTGACTGAATGTGGTCTGTTTTTCCAGCACTTCGAGGTAGTCCGGCTCAACATTTAATTTTGCTTTTAACTCCAGATACTCATTCCGGTTCGGTTCTACAAAGACAGCACCGGGAGGGCTGTAGAGCACCGGTTCCCGCAGCCTGCTGTCCCCTGCCCCCGGGTGCAAATACTGGTGGGGGCGTCGCAGGTCATAGTTTGGGGAAAAAGTGTAAGCAGCCGAGCTGCATGGGAACTTGGGGTATTCCGGGAGGCTGCTGCCGGCAGGGCTTGTGGAGCAGTGTTTGTCTGGCTCTAAAATGCCCCTGTAAAAGCGATCGGCGTCCTGCACCGGCGACAGTAGGTCCTCTCGGGGCTCGATGGTGCTGACGCTGTAGGCGGGGCTCCGCAAGTGGTGGCTTTCCCTCCTCTCCTCCTCCCCCGGCTGCAGCTGCAGCTGCGGAGGGGGCTGCTGCTGGGGCTGCTGCGGCAGCGGTGGCTGCTGCTGCTGCTGCAGGTGATGGTTGCTGCTGTAGGTGACCTTGAGCTCGTGCAGGTCTTTGTAATCCTCCACGGAGTTGCCTTCTCGAGACCGGTAGATGGGGTTTTTGCACATGTGGCCCAGTGGGTGAGGGATGTATTCATACACGTGGCCCGCGGGAGTCTTCACCTTGGGCAACGCCGGTCCGCGGTGGTGCACGTGGGCGTGTGGGTGGCCGCCCCCGCCGCCGCCTCCACCCCCATACACGCTGTACTGCATGTTAAAAGAGCTCACGTCGGAGTTGTTGGTGCTGGTGTGGTCGCTCTGGTTCTTCTTCCTGCGTTTCATGACGAGCACGAAGAGGCCTGCTGCCACGAAGACAGACATGATGAAAACCAGCAGCAGGCTGAGGATCAACACGGATAAAGGCACCGAGGAAGCCCCGGAGCCAGCACCCAAGCCCGCGGGGGCCCCAGTGCCGTTCAACCTCACAGCCGGCGTGGCTGCATTGGTTCTGGATGGTACCTGGATGGAAGAGGGTGTGGGCGTGGAAACCACTACGTCAGAATAGTCTGGACACAGCAGTTCCGACTTGATGGAGCGCATGTAGGTCTCGGCGAATTTCTTGGGCGCCTTACAGATCACTTCATCCACTAACACCCCCACTTTGAGTTGCTCAATCCACAGCTTCATGCCCACCACATCGCAGGTACAATCCCACGGATTGTCATGAAGATCGATTTGGATGAGAGAAGTCAGCTGATCCAAAACTCCACTCACTGGCAAGGAGGTGAAGCTGTTGCTCCTCAGGTTTAGCCTGAGAAGAGTCAGGCCAGAGAAGACACCCGAAGGCATGGCCTGCAGTTGGTTGTTGTTCAAGAATAGCAGCTGGAGGTTTGGGACTGGATCGAAAGTCCCAGACTGGATCTCGCGGATGAGATTGTACTGGAGGAAGAGATACTGCAGGCTCTGCAGGCCATAGAACAACTCTGGGCTCAGCCTCTCAATCCTGTTGCCATTCAGATAGAGACGTCTCAGGTTGCTGAGATCCCCAAAGGCCCTGTCCTGGATCATGGAGATACGGTTGTTACCCAGGTGAAGGAGGTCCAGTCCGGTGGCTTCCAGGAAATCTGTTCTGCGCACAACAGTGATGTAGTTCTCCGTTAGGTACATTTTCTTGGGATTGTAGGGCTTGGGCTGCAGCTCTGCTATGCTCTCGATCTTCCGCTCTTGGCAGTTGACATTGAGGCCCAGATCAGAGATCTGGAGGTTGCAAGTGCATGCGGCAGGACACTCCAAAGGCACCGGGGATTTGGTCTGGTAGGCTATGCTGGGGCCATAGTTACTGTAGCCCAAGTCTTTAGAGGGCTGCCTCGATGTAGGGCGCACTCTGGGTTTGTTGGGCTGGCGGGTCCCCTTAGGAGGCTTCAAGGGGGGTTTGTAAACAGCAGAGGAAGAAGTGGCCACAGAATTCACAGATGCTGGGGTGGTATGTAAATACCCCGTGGTGCTTAAAGGAGTCTGTGGCCTCATCTCATAGTCAGAAATAAGTTTCCTTGGACAAAGTTCCTGCTTGGATACCTCATCCAAGTCCCTGCCGTGTAAACGGAAGGGGGTCTCGCAGACCACATCACCCACGAGGGCTGAGTAGGAGATGCTGTCTAGCCAGTCCTTGAGAGAAATCAGTTCACAGGAGCAATTCCAGGGATTTTCCTCCAGCTGTAATTCCACAACCTTATCCATGTGTTGCAACAACCCGGCATAGGGCAGAAGCTTCAGTCTGTTCCCCCGCAAGTCCAAATGCGTTAAGGGCACAAAACGGAAAAGATTGTTGGGTAAACCTGACAAGAGATTGTCATTGAGGATGAGCACCTGCAACATATGCAGTTTCCCAAAAGCATTGGGTTCAATGACACTGATGTAATTGTAATCGACCTGCAGGTATTCTAAGTTCTCCAAGCCAAGGAAGGTGTCATCCCGAAGAAGCTCTAGTTTGTTATTGTTTAGATGAAGTCGCCTCAAACCCCGCAGCCCATGGAAAGCCCCAGTCTCGATGTCTTGGATAACATTGCTTCCCAAATGTAAAATTGAAGCCCCAGTGTAATTGACAAACTCATTGGGATAGAGACGGTTCAGAAGGTTCCCAGACAACAAGAGGTGATAGATAGGGAACCGAGGAGGGCTAATTTCAGAGAGACTGATGATTCCCCGGTTTTCACAGCTCACAGTTAAAATGCCATCCTTTTCCTCACAAGGACATGCATTGTCACAGATTTCCCCATAATAATCGATGGTTTCTGCACAGGAAAGCACGAGAGATGTTACAGCAAACGCTAGAGTGTGCAGCATCCAGCTATGCATTTTTCTGTGAAGGTCCTGTTCCAAAGTTACTGGGGGGCAGCAAAGGTGCATTTTACCTCCTGCAAGGGAGAAAGGAGATAGGAAATAACAATATCACACACACACAAAGTAAGGGGTTAATCAGAAAGTCCCCTTCTCCTAATGCTCTTCTCTGAAAGCCAGGAGGTGAAATATATATATATATATTTCACCTCCTCTTTTTTCCAAGTAGAACAACAGTGATATCCTTCAGACTTAACCAAGATTGGCCACTCATTTTGATTTGGAGTCTCATGGTATTTCCCAATGAGCATGGCACCAATTTTCTGCTCTTTAGAAGATAAAGGCAGATAAAATCCGGTGTTGGTCTTCTCTGTCCTCCTCCATCAAAACTAACCCATAAACATACATACAATGGCTGTCAGTGCAGTTTTGTGGCTCTAATTTAAGAGAAAGAAGCGTAATTTCTTTCAACAGGGTTGGTTCTCTACTTCACATAGACCCCAGCCCTGCTTGCTTTCTTTCAGAATCTTCTGTGACAGCACTTTACCGTTGAGGTCTCCCATTTTTACAGGCGAGCGGGGGCCACAACACTTTGAGCTATTTTAAAACACCACAAGACATGTCAGTGTGGGAACGTGAAGAACACTTTTCAGAGGCAAAAACGGATGCAAGATTAGGCATCAAGAGGAATCAGAGAAGCTTTTAAATCACCAATTGTCCTGGGGAGCGCTGAGAATGTAGAGGTGTGTGTGTGTGGGGGGGGCTAGGGGGTTGGGAGCGAGTTCGCTTTGATGGTGGACTTCACCACAGCTATTAAGCATATCAGAGCCCTGATTGTATGCTCCATGCCACTTAGCAGCTCTTCTAGATCATCCTGAGTCGACTTCTTGTCATTGATCACGCCAGCGACACTACAAAACCGCATCTTTAACCACTGTAATAGTTCTGCACGATGGATTATAAAGAACTCAGCACAGATATCTGCAATCTCAGAGCACCTCTGAATCTGTGGTTCTAAAGAGAACATTTCTAACTCTTACCCCCCCCCCCGAAGCAGATAAAGTAAGCCAAGGATCAGAGGCAAATGCTCTATTACCCCGGGCTCCAAGTCAGTTTGCCCCCCGGTATGCAAAAGTAGCCCTTCTGAATTAACCAAATTTGGAAGGCACTGCCGCCTTGCCAGCATCTCCATCTTTGAAGTTGCTTTTTACATTTAAATGTCAATGGTCCCCTCCCTTATTTCCCTTCCTGGTAGAAAGGAAGGCTGAGGTGATTAAGAGATGAAGTAGAGGCTAGTGTCACAGGCCAGTGTTTCAACATTTGAATTTAATCTCCCCAAGAAGCCGCTTTCATCCCCTCCCCCTTCTGCTCTTCTGTCACTGGAAGGCTTCCTTTGACTTACTACTTTGGGTTGACAGCAACACTCTGAGAGGATGGTAGGTCACAAGTGGATTATTGTAGAGTGCTGGGTTGCTAGGAGAGTGTTAGTGTTCAGAACCTATGCCTTTCCTGTGGCCAACCTTGTTCCTGCCTCCCACCAAAAGCTGCTGAGAATCTCAAACCAGAACTAAAGCCCGGACGTTTCTAAAGCACAGGTGCAAGCTTGGAAACCTTGCACACGATCACCAAGTCGCATCAACCCCCCTGATTCAGAGCGTCTGCATTCGCACGCCGTGTGCAAGTGTGCCTACGAATCACTGACATTTGGCCACCCAGACCTACCGAGACAGATCAGAACCACAGTACACAAACCTCACTAGAATACCAGACCTCCCCCTTCACGACAGTAGAAGGCTCGGGTTTTAAACACCCTGGTACCAAAGCAAAACGTTTACCTTGAAATCTGTGTTCTCCGTTGGATCAAATGTGCACATCCATTCAGCTGGGTTGCATCCCCTCCCCCTCCCTCGCGGTGCTTCCCCGCCCCCATTCACCTCCTTCCCCATCTCAGAGTCCATTGCAAATTGTGTCCAGGCAGTATTACATTCGAACGTTGACAACTTTTATTCAGTTCTGGCTAGCCGGGGTCGAACAGCCTTTTCCAAAGCGCCTCTCCATTCACCCCCTCCCCCGCCGTCCCCAGCCATCAAAGGAGACTGAAGATTTGAGAAAATAAAGTTGAATGAGCTGGGAATGCTAGCACCGAGGCAGGGAAAAGCACCACCGATGTAAACTCGCGGGTGCACCACACGTTTTTGGTTTATTAAAACAAAAAGAAAAAGAAAAAAGAAAAAAAAAAAAAGAAGGCTAGAGGGCGGGGACGGGGGAACTGTATTTGTTCTCTCCCCAAGAATTTAGAGCCTGGATCACCGCCTGCCATCTCCCTGCATTAAGCAGCACGGAGCCGCTCCGGTTGGAGCCCAAAGCCAGGCCGGACCCGCGGCTCCCGGCACAGCTGCTGGAAAAGCCGCTCAGGCGGAGGCAAGCGGAGTTCCAGGACCCGAGGCTCCCCCTCCCCCACCCCGCCCCAAAGCAAAGGAAGGGTAAAGGGAGGAAGAAGGGGAGGGAGGGAAGCCAAGAAAGCCGCTTCGCCACACCACGCAGGCACACACACACACACGAACGCCTTTTGCAAAGTAAACCGCGGACTTACCGCGTCTCCCATCTCAGGGCCCCCACTCATCAGCGCTAACCCTTAGGAAGAGACGCCTCTTCGGGGTGTGCACTGATCTTCGAAGCCTAGGCAGACGCAGAAGGCTGCCAACGGTGCAGGCTGAACCGCCGGGGGGGGGGGGGAAGCGGCCCCAGGACGCCGCTAGCCCCGGGCCGCCGCCGCGGTGGCGACCGCGGGTTCCCGGGCTCCCCGAAGGGCTCTCCCTGGCGCTCTCCGCGGCCGCCCGAGCGGGCGGTGGGGTGGGGGAGTGGGGGAAGGGACGGCCAGGCAGTCGGCAGCTCCCGGCAGGGCGGGGAGGGCGCAGTGGGGAGGGCAAGTGGGGAGGACCGGGGAGGGGGCCGCGGAGCGGGCTGCCGGGCTCGGCCGCCCGGGGAACGTGCTGGGGAGCCTGGGCGAGCGCTCGCATCCCATCTCACTCACGCTCCCTCGCAGCGTGGCTCCCACGCGCGATCCCCAGGTCTCAGGGCCCCTTCTCCGGACACCCCAGCCCGGGCGGGTACTTACTGTTCCCATCTGCACCGAGGGCAACTTTCTCCGACCCAGCGATGGCAGCCGCCCCCTCCAGCCGCCTCAGGCTCCCGGCACCCTCCGGCCTGGGATTGCGCGGGCCGGCCCTCCCCTCCCCCCTAGTCTCTCCGGCTCGCCGTCTTCACCACATTCCCCCCCTGGTCAGTGGCGCACGCCCCGGGACGAGCCGGAGGGAGCGGGGCTCGAGGGTGTGCGTGCATCGCCCGCCTTCTTCTTGCAGCGCACACTGTACATGGTAGTGAGGGGGCGAGGGAAGCTGCTGCTGGCCCCGGGGCTGCTCCGCCGGCGCTTCCTCCGCTGTGTGCTCCTCTCCCCCGGCGCGCCGCGACCACTGCGGCCGGGATGCCGCTGTCCCCGAGGCGAACCTGCAGTCGCGGCCCCTAATTAGTGTTTGAAAGGCTCCCGCATCCTCTTGGCGGCTTCACGGTTCCCAGGGTTTGCAGCGGATTTTCGCTAGCCCTCCCCAGATGCGGCGCAGGATCCTCATTATTTGCAACTCTTTATCTCCGACATCCTTTGAGGGGTCCGGGGAGGCAGGGGCGGCGTTGTTCTACGCCTGTGGCATGTCCTGGCAGCCTGGCCGCTCTAAAAAGAACTCAGGAAAAGTCGTGTCTTCTCTCCTGGGAGCTGAGGAGGCGGCCACATCTGCCGGGTAGCGGGTGCAGGGCCCGTCCGCTGCACTTGTTTATTGTCGCGCCGCTGGTGCGAGCCAAGCTGCAGCAGACATGATGGGCCCCGGGCTAAGCGGGCGGCCGGTGGCCGGTAGATGGCAGCCGAGGGCGACGGCGTCTCTGGGCTCTGGAGGCGCAGCCAGAGCCCACTTCGATGTCACATTCGTGGAGACAGAGGAGTCTTGGACCATGTGCACAATTCGAGCGTAGGAGTGTGCAATCGTCTTCTTGGAAAAGGGAGGATTGGAAATAACCCTGCCGGTGCTAGGCTCGGTGGTGACCAGGGACAGATGCTTCCTACAGATTGCCTTTTGCCTAGATGCCTCTGCCCTTTACCAGAGAGTCCTTACAGCTAGCGTCTCCAGTAAAGGACCCTGGAGGGAGTGGCTGGTCCTAACTATAGAGAGTGCGGAGTGCGTTATTTATACCCCTCTTTTTTTTCTTTTTCTTTTTCTTTTTTTTAAAGAATCACGTTTTACAAGTATGTCGGGGAGGTTCTCCAGAAGGAAAGTGAATACACTAAGCAAACTAGGAAGCTGGAAACAACTGAAACCAAGGCAGTGCCCTTTGAGAGCGAGTTTGTGGAAGCCTCACCTGAGGAACAAATCCTGATCCCCTGCATGGTAAGTATGACTGGTTTCTTCCAGGAAACCAGTCAACTTCGTCCCCTGGAGAAGGTTTGTGTGTTCAAAAGATGCGTTTAGGAATGTTAGGCCTGCAGTCTTCTTCGCAAGGGGCAAAGGAAAGTTGTTTAGAGTTAGTGGCCCAGGGCAGCCTGCTCACTTGCTTCATGTTGTCACAGATGGGTGGGTACTCCTGTCATGCAAATGCATTTTACTCTTCCTATGCTGAAATTATGCTCTAATATTCTCTGGGTTTAAACTAGGGGACATTAGTGTGGATATACTCTGGTCAAACATGTGGTTGACATGAAAAGAATCCAGAACCAGTGTGTGTGTGTGTGTGTGTGTGTGTGTGTGTGTGTGTGTGTGTCTGTGTGTGTGTGAACTGCTCTTTACAGCATCCATCTGTGTTGAATTTCAAGGGTTTATATTGAGGTAGTGCTTTATTTCAACCTCTTGAAATGTGAAATGCTTTTAAATTTTCCTCTAAATAAATCTTCTATGCATATATTTTTAGCTGAGCCATAAGCACTTTGAAATAGTTTTGTGTATTTCATGCAAGTTTGTGTAGTCTGCAAGGGAGAAAAGGGCTGACATACATGTGAAGTCAGACAACGGAAACCATAGAATTCTATTAAATTTGCTTGTTTTTTTTTTTCCATAGGAATGACAGGTATTTGCCTCAGGTGTGCATCAAAATTTACTTTAAAAGCAATAGTCTCTATATCATCATTGATATCCCATAATCTGTCTTAAAATGTATAAATTTTCTTTCAAAGTGAAAATATGTCACCTTTATGTATTTAAATTGTGACTATTTAATTTTTCAGGTGCACTCGCCTTCAGCAGCCTAATGGTTAATGATTACTAACTCAATAGAAGTTCCAATAAGTTACAGAATGTCATAGTTATAAGACTTCCCAGGATATCTGTACTGTAATATTTGTGGGCATCGCCTTCACAGTTCCACTCAACATACACAGGGGTTTATACTCTACTTCGTATTATTTTATTTTAAATAGTACCCTATTTAAGATATATTTTCTATCAAACACATACTGAACATCAAATACATGCAGGAAACATTTGTACCCACACTTCAGATTTCCTTGTGTGGTTTAAACAAAACAAAACAAAACCTGAAAAACCCCAAAGCTTTCTAGCACTGATTCAAGTCTCCCCGTTGCCCACTCTCACCACTAGGTGTCCCTATAAACTGCTCTGCTGGGAAGTGAATTTTAAGACATTCTGTGACATAGAAACTAGAATATACTGCAGTAGGAAAATCACCACAGAAATAAAGGACTCAATTTTAATGCACAGACCTGTATTTGCTCTGACAGCTGACTATTTCATGGGAAATATAGAAATGGATCATATATAGAAGAAATTAGAGCCAAGAATTTCACTCACAGGACCAAATACATTTGCTTCATCTGCACTACTCATCAGAGAGTCACGTGATATGCACCCATGCTTTCATACAATACTTAAGTAAACACAAATGATTATGAAAAAACACATCTGGATACTGGAAAATGAAACTAATGATCAACAACTTATTTCAAGAATTAAGGTATAAATTTTCTAAGTACAACATTGTTTAATTAAGTAGGCTGTACAAAGCTGGGGACATATCACCAAATGTTTGTGAACATACTAACACCATGAAAGACCATGAAATAACACCTATCAGCAATACATGTCACCTAGATATATGATTTGGTAACAGCATATTAAAATTTAAAGTCACATTACAATTTCAACTTATGTCTTGAAGTGGAGCACATATTTTCAATGGCTTTTAAATTATTATTATAGATATCATATTAAATATTCTCAGTGACCTATGAATATTTTGGAATGATTCCTACAGTAAATTAAACTATTGTTTATGTTAAAACAATTGTTTATTGTTGTTAAAATATTGTTTGCCTTGACACTGTGTTGTTTCTTCAACATATCAAAATGCTTAGTCAAGAATTACAGACCATTCTGAAGCAACCTAACAGGAATTATAATTCTTCAGTAATACCAGAGAGATGGTATGAGCATTGATTAACGTCACCGAACTCCAAAGCTATTAGGACTTCCCTTTATTTTGTTAAATTACATGGTGAATTATGAGTAGAAAGTCTAATGCTAGATTTCAGACCTCCCCTAAAGTAGTTCAAATGTTACTTTTGTAAATCAGAATTTCCTACAATTCGTTTATTAAATTTAATCTGAATTTATATATATATATACATATATATACATATATATATATATACATATATATATATATGTATATATTTGTCATAAGGCTTTGATGTCAAAGCTAAATCCATTATAGACTTCTGAAAGGAGAAACTGAATGCTTTCTGTATTGAGAAAACTGAGTCATCATTTGTGCTTGCTTCTTGATACAAAGTGCTCTTATCTAGTTTGCTACAGCTGCAGCAGCAACAAGCACAGTAGAATCATTTGAGAAAACCACAATGGTGATCACAGGTGATCACAGGTGGCTAACATCACTGAGGTTATTCATTTTTCCATGGACAGTAATTTGGATTCTTTAAATGTGTTTCATGAGCCTTGATTTTATATATATATATATATATATATATATATATATATGTGTGTGTGTGTGTGTGTGTGTGTGTGTGTGTGTGTGTATGTGTGTGTATGTATATATGCATATGCATATGTATATACATATATCTATTGTCAGATTTTCATTGTAAATATATGTTTAATAATTTTGGGTTTATCATATGAATCTTCCTGGAACGACCTAAGCAATATCTACCGAACTTTAAGATGCATTTAATTTTTAAACTGTTACCTTTTCAGAAAGTAGTCTACCAAAATAGGAAGGTACAAATGTAGCGGCAAAGAAAAATGTGGAACTTTGATGGTTGAGGGCAATCTGTTTTATTTTGTTTGTTTTGTTTATTTTGTTTGTCCAATTTGGGCATCCCTAAGAACAACCTAAACCTAAATACCAAGACAGTAAGTAGTTATCTACGCTTTGAAATTTTGTTCATCCTTGAATACAGGAGTGCCGCGCTGTCATTATTTGTGCAGTATGTCAGTATAGCTTTATATATTTTCCTGTGAAGGAAAGAGGAGGGAAGGGACAGGTAGAATGAGACAGGAGACTTGGAGGGAGGGGGAGAGAGAGAGAGGGAGAGAGAGAAAGAGAGAGGAGAAAGATGGGTTTTTTCTTGAAAGATAGACATGCACAAATCCATTAATGATCATTACCGCTCAGAAAATTGGAACTCTTGAAAATAAAAAAAACATTACTGGTTTTGGATTTAACCTATACTCTAAATTTTACTACAGAAAATTTCAGTTTATATGCACACTTATAAAAAGAAATTTTTAAAAGGTCAATATGGACTTCAAGCATACCAATATTTGGACTAAGCATGTGACTTCTGGTGAACAGTTGTGAATCAATTCTTAAACTTAATCTCTATCCAATAGATATGAAATATATTTTATGTTGCCCATAAATGGTAGTATTAATACAGACCCTGAATAGTTTTGAAAATGAGTGTAGGTTAATTTCTCCTAGCAACTCTTACTTGTGGATTTCATTTCTGGCCCGCAATATCAACTAACAGAACCAGGCTTTCCTCAGGTTGAGTGTTCATAACCATCTTGTTCCCCAGAACATTGGTTTCATCTTATTGTCTTGGGTGTGAAAAAAAAGATCAAAATGAGTCTGCAGAGTAAGGACATGAAAAAATCCTTTGATATAAGCTTTCAGTCTTTCCTGATATCTGCATGGGATATAAGCACATGTGGCATGTTTAAATGTACAGACTCTCATCAGACATAACACAAAGGTCACACCATCTGGCTTGCTCTGGCATTAAAACACGGCGTACCATTGGAGAGAGGCTGATTTAGTACACAGCTAGTTTGGGTTTCTATGTCTATCTCTGCTACAACAGTGACTATGCCTGTGCTAAACACTGTTAACTCAGTCCTCACCTT